GAGGTGGATGCGCCCTGCGCGTGTATCTAAAGCGTGACTTTTGCTGTCCTGCTCGAGGAGGGGTCTGTGGGTCAGGGAGGGGTCTGTGGGTCGGGGTCGTCTGAGGAGGAAGCAGATGAATGGAGTTGCACACGGGAACTTTTATTTAAGATTTAAGTTGTTTTATTTCAAAGGTCCTCATGGCTCAGCAGCAGCAGCAGCAGCATAAATATTACTGTTAATAAAGCTGATGATAAAGTTGAATAAAAATCTAAGTCTGATGAAGGTAAAGTAAATATCTGACAGTGATCATTACACAGTGTGGCTCTAATTCCTCACTTCACCATCTGTGTCGCAGTTTCCCGTCTCCAAAATGAGCGTACACCTGGGTCAGAGCTGTGAGGCACCGCACATTTTCACCTCAAGTTTGGATTTTATAAATCACAACCTTGGCATAAAAAGTGGCGTACGCAAGTTTCTGGGTTCAAATTGTGCGTACGCCAGTTTTATAAATCCGACCCCTGGAGTTTTTTCCTTAACGTGACTGTGCGGTGAAGCTAAACATGAGTGGGTGGACTTTTAAACGGTTAGATCTTGTTGAAACATTTATGAAAGAGTATAAATCAGCATAAATCAGATCCATATTCTTGCCCTGTTTTTATTTAATTGTTTTAACACAGTGGCTGCAGCACGTTGTGATTGTCTGATGCTGCTCAGTCTTCCTCTCTCTTCTTCCTGCAGAGGACGCAGACAGAAATAAAGATGTAACGTTACAAACTGCAGCCACTAAATAGATTGTCGATTTTTTTATTTTCTTTCTTTGACTTTTCGTAATGTGACAAATCAAAAGCGGGACCAATGTGTGCACACGCTTTGGGCCTGTGGACCAGATGGGCATCGCGCTCCTGTGGCTTTTGTGTCGGTCAGGACCTGTCGTTGTGCCAAGTTGATGTTGTTGTGTACCACACACATCGCGCCCATGTGACCTGTGTTTGTGGTAGATGTGTTTGTGCGTACCTTCCAACTCTGTTACATCCAGAAGGGAAACTTCACCAAAGTGAAACATAAATCTGTGGATCTGTGTTTGATTACTCTGCCT